AATAATGAAAACGAGATAAAACGTTTCTACCTAATATAGAGAAAAGGACGCCCTAGACGACAAATGTTTAAGGGAAAACACGTTCATGTCGAAATTCGAAATGAAATAAATAAATAAAAAAATAAATAATACATAAATGAATTTCATTATTTAACTCCTTCAAATTTAAAATTAATTAAAACTTAATTTGAAGGTTCATCGCTAACGTTGGTTGTGTTAATTCACGAAAACACACAGCTAGATAACTTTGCTATATGAATTGTAAATAAATTTTTTATTATCACGAAATAAGCAAAATAAATAAGATTAATATTATTTTTCGTATTAAATATTTAAAAATTATCCCCTAATGAAATTCATCGCAATTCTAATTCTTAAAATCTCTTTAAAAGTCTGAATAAGTCTTAAATATTATTGTAAATGTTTGGATTTCGTACCATGATTTTTAAGAATTAATATAACTCAATGAGAGATTCAAATGATATAAATAAATTCTAAAAATTTATGTGAAACCTGATATTTGGTGTCCGAAATATTCAGACGGGTAAGGTAATTGCTTATTTAATTTAGAAAAATGTTTACAAGTGACAATAATTGTTATAAAGAGTTATTTAGAGTTATTATGAGTTATTAAGTGTTGATAAAGGTTTTTAATATTTTTAAAAACTTTTTTGATCGGTATCAACGCTCAACCAAAAGTCATGGTGAAAAAACCGAGCAACCATATGAATAATATAGAAAAAAAAACTCAACACTTTTGCTAAAAAATTATTTCTCCGTGTACGTACTAGTGGCACATTTTGCGTGACTAAATTCTAACCAAGTAGTTCATAAGCAATTGCTTATGAACTGAACACAACTCTTATCAACTTCAAATTAATTTTAACTCAGTTTCATTAGAAATGATTTCATTTCCAAAGCACACGTTCGATACTATAATGTCCAGATTGGACTCTTTTTGAACCTTTTTACTCAATTTTTAAGAATTTCTAAAGGTTTTGTTTATCCGCTTACATATAGCTCTATCATGATTAATACGCAACAGTTAATGATCAAACAAGTTTCATATATTTGAAACATACAATCAAAAATATCCTTAATTGGCGCTATCAATCGATTTTTTGTATTCTAAATATTCATGTGGTGCTCCGAATTTTATAAGCAAAAACGTTAAAGAATGTATCATTCATTTCCGATATTAGTAATTATCAACACTTGAAAATTAATTTAGAAAAATCAACTTGAAACTTCAATGATCAAGAGATGTGGTATAGCACTTATTTGTATATACTTCTACATACTTTTCAATAAAATGTCTCAATTTATAAGGCGAGAATGATGGATTTATTTTAGTATTTATATTTCTTTATAATCAATTAATACTATAAAAATATATGTTTGAATCCAATTTGACTATTTTTAAATGACAAATATAGTTTTTAATCGTGCGACTTCGGTTGCGGTCTTCAAAAATAAAAAAAATCAATATAAAAAAGATAATAAAAGTATATTTATAAAACTTATATGCTTATAACGTTGCATAGATTTAAATGAATTTTCTATAAGCTTATGCGAATTTCATAATAAATTCATATGGAATTTATATGACATTTATAAAAATTCTACGTGAAAAGTTCAGTTAACATTCGCCTTCATATTTTACAAAGATTTATCAATAATTTTGATATGATATATGCTCGTAGTTATGACTCAACTACTTTTTTGCACATTATATTTACGCATATTATACATAAAATTACGCCAATAAATTTATGTAAGTTCTTTATAAAAAAAGCAGAAATTTATAAACATTTTTTAATTATTATCATTCTCTACTTAATTTATTGCTAGAATCATTTATAAAATTCATTATTTAACATCGAAACGAAATTTTTTATAATGTATGGGCAAGATCATAAAAAAGATTTGATAGTTCAATCAATGTAGTTAGAGCGTATTCAAAAATAAAAATCCTGAAAATTCCAGCCCTCTAGTTCCATCCCTACTTGATTTACTGATCCTCAAAGTTGAATTTTTGTTTTTCAAATTGATTCTGCTTTGCTAAATTGACTAAGAAAAAATTTTTGAATCATGAATTTTAATGCAAACTTGGTGAGAAATTCAAAGGCGCACTCTAACATTACGTTCATAATTGAAAAATCCTTTGAACATATAAACGTAGCATGAAATTCCGATTATAAAGTTTTTTGTCCCCAGCGGATGGACCAAAAGTGCAATCTGTTCAAAATACAGCTTCTGCTAAATTATGGTAAACGGTTGAAATTATGGAGACGATTTGATAGCATTCGAAATTGCAAAAAAATATTTAAATATTTTTTAAGGTATCTGAACCCTACATTTTTATTTATCGAGAGCCACGAAATTTATTTTACTCATAATTTTTTTTTGTAAATTGAATTGGGACAAAAAGCTCAATGGCAACCTTCATTTTGTTGCTAAAATCAGTAGCTAAAATATAAGACTTTCCACCGCGTAGATCGCCTAGAAAATTGAATTGAAATTTTGATTTAAAGATGATTTTTGACTTTGATAAAATTTGAATGAAATTTATTTTGTTACAGGGTTGAACTTGAATATTCGATTATATCTATGTTGTAACACTCTACTGAATGATCTTCTTGCTAAACACTCATTTATCCATAAGTAAAAAATATACTTATAATCTTATGATTATTATGATATAAAATTATCTTGAATTAAAACCTTAAAACAAACATAAACTGTGATATCGGTGAATTCTTCATCGTATTAATAAAATATATTGAACCCAAGGTAAAAATGATCGATTATGTACAATGTTTCGAATGTTTTATATTAGTTGTTTTCAAATATTTGTTAAAATAATTAAAAAAATATAAAACAGAAATTTCTGAAAATGTGTCGGAAAATTTTTATTTTTGTTATTTTGAAAAATTAAATTGACAAGTAAGATGAATGAAATTGGCAAGTGTTGTTCGTTGATATAATTCGTAGAAGTTTGTAAAATCATATCCTCAAAAAAAATATTATAGGGCTGATTCTAACATTTTAAGTTACATAGATAAAATTCAAGCATATATATTTATGAAGCATATATTTAAATTAATTAACCCATTAAGTTCCAAGAGGACGTATTTCAACACTTCATCAACCACTGTATTTTTGGGGAAAATGCGGTCAAACAAATATGCCAGTAACCAATTCTTATGTAAAATTTAATGACTTTTCAGAATCTGATCTCAGATTTTCGAAAAAATAATCAGGTCAAAAGTTAAACTTGATTCTATCCTAAAAAACGTAATTTTGAAAATAACGATTTTTTTTATTTTTCGATTTTCCAAATGGAAACTATTTGATCAAATCTCAGGGGTTTCGTGCAAATATCGCGTCCTCGCCTTAAATAAAAGTTAGCGGGGTTCCGATTGAAAAAATTAATGTTTAAACACAAAAATTGGCGATCGAAACACGAAAAAATGAATGAAAACTTCTAGAAGTTCTCTCAAAAACGAAGGGCTTGAGAAAAAAGTGTATATTTTAACTTTATTTTCTTCAATCTAAGCCCCGCTAACTTTTGTGTAGGTATCGAGGACGTGATATTTGCACGAAATCCCTGAGATTTCAAATGGTTTCCATTTGGAAAATCGAAAAATAGAAAAAAATTTATTTCAAAATCACGTTTTTTTGGATAAAATCAAGCTTAACTCTTGACCTGATCATTGTTTCGAAAATTTGAGATGAGATTTTAAAAGGGCATTAAATTTTACATTAGAATTAGTTACTTGAATATTTTTTCGTTCCCATTTTCACCAAAAATACATTGGCCGAATAAAATGTTGAAAAAACGTCCTTTTAGGACTTATTGGGTTAATTTAATTTCGAAAAGCTATATTTTATGATCTTATATAATATAATATGGTATTCTTTCATGCAGAATTTAAGAAAATGGAATTATAAAATTACTATAGTTACGTAAATATTGTACATGATGGCCATATTTTCAATATTTAATTATTTTCAATTTGTTTATTTATCGGAAAAAAATAAATCTATGTATGTACCAGAGATTTTTCTGCAAAAGCTATAAATCGATATGACAATGCCAATTTTCAGTTTCAATGAAATTCTTCATTGTTTTTTAATTAATTTGAAAATTTTAAATAGAAATGTTCGATCGTTATAATAAACCCTCACGTTTACCAAATAAATAGACTCATGGGCGGAGCCATACGTATCGTATTTGAATGAAGGAAAGAACCATTGAGAATGTAGTATTCTAAATGGGAGGTATCTTCAATGAACAAAGGTGCACGTGCTGTAGCGTGGGCGGAGCTAATATTTACCTTATGCGCATAGCCCAGCTTTTTACTCATCTCATATACCGTTTCGTGCCATGTGAAGTGAAGGTTAAAACTTAAGTTACAATCAGGTGTTATTATACCATTCTGCTTTCACAACAGTTTCGACATAACATCTACTAAAAAATGGAAGTGTGTTCGGTATCCAAAGAAAATATATTTTCTACTATCATACCTCAAGATGAATTTTTAAATTATCAATCGCAAAATTTAGAGCATGATATAACTGAAAATAGAATTCCGATAAAAAATCCTAACTTAACTTCAAAAGGATCTTCGTATCAAGATTTAAATGAAAAAATTCAACCTCACATTAACATGGAAAAAAAATCATTTTGTATTGACGCGCTTTTAAATCACAATTTAAAAACAAATTGTCCTCGTGACAATCATGAAATATTGAACAAAAAAGTAAATTTTACCATAAATATAACAAAAGATAATAAAGCTACGGCCTCTTCTTCGGATTATGTTGTGGATGAATTAAAAAGTGAGTTAAATTTTCGACATCAACAAAATATATCGAATGAAGGAAATCTTGAACCTATGTTTCCAAAGTTTGGGGACTGCCAAAAAATTATTCGGGAAAAGGGTTCTTTGTATGAAGGAGAAAATTGCGATATTCATACTATGAATTCTATCTCAATGGCTGGTAATTACAGTGAATCAAAAAGTTTAAACAATAGAATAGAAAATATAAGTATTTCATCGGGAAATCTTAGTGAATTTTCATCGTCAACTTCATCTAATTCAGTGATCAATAAAAATAGTAACGTATCCTTGAATGTAAAAGAAAGAGAAATATTCGTCAATCATCCAATAAAATCAGCCCATACTTTCATGCAGAAGTCAAGTTTTATTATCTGCTCAAAAAATATTCCAATATCTAGTTCTACTTACGATCAAAGCGAAGAAAATTCATTACAGATAATTCAAGAAAGGCAATCGATGAATAACTTGCAATGTTTTCCAAATCGTGTTCCTGTTGGAGCTCTTCAGCTTGAATGGTTAGCTAGATCTGGAATTTTATATCCTAGTATATCAACAAATTTTCAAGGTAATGCATAACATATAATCTTCAAATCATCTTAAAATAGATAAAATCTTAACCCCAATTTTTTTGGAACTTTTTTTTGTAAAATAAACATTAAAAAAATTTCTCACGTGGTGAAATTCTGAAAGTCAAAATTTCAGCCCTCCAATGTAGGAAGGAATTCGAATCTTTTTTTATTATTTGTTAAAAATCTAAAAGAAAAGAATCCGACTTAGTTATACAAGTAAAATTTTGTGTGAACTTACAAAAATATTTGTTTAAGAATGAAATTATTTTCTTAAGTATTTGGTATTTATTTACTCATTTTTTCGGAAACGACCATGAAATACTATTTTAAAAAAGATGGCTGAATTGTATACTTTCGGATGAATAAATTCACCATAAACCAAGGTAGAAATTGATAAAAGAACCGGTTTTTAAATAGGAGTCTAGCAAGATAGAAAATTATCACGAAAAAAAAGATTGTTTAAACTGTGTCGTTTTTGTACGATTTTTATTGCTCATTTTTGGAAAAAGTATCGTCTTTCTCGACACCTAAATTTTAAAGAAAAAGGCTCGGAAGCGATGACTGACAAGTGTTGATCGGTATCTCCTTTGTATTCTGTCACATACGTGAGATTTATTGAAAAGTCCTAATTGTGAAAAATTATATTTTTACTATAATTTTACAATCAGAACGAGATAAAAGTTGTTTTGTTGTTTGAAGAGTATCTACAGATACAAATCTTTGAAGCATCAAAAATCTGATTTCAGTTAAAAAGATATTTTTATTAAAATTAATTGAAGATTGTGTACCTATAAGCTCAAGTGTTAAATCACTCTGTGACGAAAGACTTAAATTATATGTTATACAATTTTTGGTGAGGCCCCTGTAAGATCTTTCCCTGACTCAGCTACAATAATTTTACATCTGTATCAGACAATAACAAGTACATATTCAGATAAGGTTTTTCAAAAACTGTTTGAAAATGATTCAAAATGGTTGATGCAAAATAATTCCAAAGCCCGCTTCCTAATATAGTGTATATCCATGATTGGCAATAAGATACGTGTTATGTAGAAAACTTGGAAAATAGTAACTTACAGTTCATAATTTTTTCCATGAAATGGCACTTTGATTTAAATCGTACACTCGTTCACGATATTATGCTACAAAATCTCGATATATTTCATCTCAAAGTATGCAATTTTTAACTCAAGCCTATGAGATGACCATCGGGTATAAGCATTCATAAGGTGTTGATAATCAAACAATAGTTTGTTAGAATGTCATAGTATGAAAGATATCCAGATCAATTTCCCAATTTGATGCAAGAAAAAAATTGAGAAATTCCATTGAGTATAATATTAATCACAATCACAATTTTGCCGTTCTTTAATAAAATGTAAATTGAACGACTCAAATTCTCTATAGACAATTAGTTCAGGCAGAATATCAACTAATTAAGGCAAAACTCATTGCAAGTTGAGATTTTTAACTTTGAAAATGTAAAAACGATTGTGTGACAGTTTTATGTATAAGCTGAATGAATGAGCATTATCATGTCATCATAATTATTACTTTTTAAAAAAAAATCTAAGTCAATAAATATAAGATTTTAGGAGGTCAATGATGCATGTATGATTCACACTTTATTGTGTTCACTTTCAACATAAGAATACAAAAGCAAAAGTTACTTTTACAACTAGGCTTGCTTGCTATAGCAAACAAGATGCTGCAGAGACTTCTGGAACGATGGCAGCGATGAATAATTTTCGATGCTCGAAGCAGCTAATGATACGGCAGACGGATGTACTTGCTGAGACGATTGCGGTTTCAGCTCCCAAAATGTGGTGTAAATTCATGCTAAATAAGTTGGAGTTGATCAGTTACAATGGTCATGCTACACTTTTAGTTTAGTAACACAGTTGAGAAGAAGACTAATAGTTGGGGCCATAGACCAATTGACACAGGCTCTGCATTCCACGAGAAACAATAATTAATTCACACAGATGACTTTGTGTTTTATTTTCAATTATCCCATATTTTTGCACAAAATCTGGGGGACACTTGACCGAATTTCAACTTCCTAAACATCAATATTAGATCACTGAATTATTTTAGGTTCTTCAAGCAAAACTCCATTTTTCTAAAATTCCAAAAAAATTTATTTTTATCAAAGACCGCAATTATTTCGTGCTCAATTTGTGTTATGAAGCATGTGTTATGACACCGAGGTGTTTTATTCTTCACCCGAGTATGAAATAGTATTTATCTCGGTCCCTGCTAAAAAGTTTCAATCTTGCTAATTTTTTTATTTATGCTAGAAAATAATTTATGACAGTAAAAATTTTCAATCATATTTGCTTAGAATCTGTACACTAAAATAGTATTTCTTCATCGTCATCATTTTTCTACTATTCCTATTGGTATGCGAGGTACTAAAATCACTTACTGCAGATAATAATATTTATACAGTTATGTTCCTAAATTGTAATACAAGAAAAAAATGTTATATTACATAGTATTAAGGTATACACCCCTATTTTCGATCAGTGAGGCCCTAATTTCGATCAAATTTAAATCAATGTTTTATATAGGATTGAGACTTGATATCTGATTTTGAATAATGTATTTCTGTTGAAGATGTTCGATTCATTCAGCCAATTATTTTAAAAAAATTTCTTACGTAGAATTAAGTTGTTAATATTAATTATTGATCGAATATAGGGACATAATCGAAAATAGGGGCATATACCTTACACGAAGTATGTACTTCCGAGTTTAATTAATTTCAGAAACTTGAGCTTATGATTCGATATACACTATTTTTATTACCTAGACAAAAATAAGGCAACATTTTTATGAAAAAATAAAAAATAACATAATACTTCCGCCAACCACGATTTTGGAACTAAAAAAATTACATTTTCATTCCGTATCGAATACGTCCGTATTAAATAGAGAAAAACATAAATTGTGATGATACTTATATTCATTTCTATTAATTCATGAATCAATTATGCTATCATGATTATTAGAGAGGTGAGTGGATACCCGAAAAATCGAACTACCCAATTTTTTTACCCGCCGAAGTTTTTCGAACTAACCCGAGTTTTTTTAGATAATTCAATAATTGAGGTTGTTTTCAATTACATTCAACCAATTTTGAAGCAAGCTTATTTGCTTTGGCTTTGACTTCGTGTATAAAAATGTGTGTTTGATGTATGTACGAGAGTAGGCTCCGGTACACGTCGTTATTAGACGAGCGAAATAATAACACCAGCATAGCCCGACAAAATTGTAACGCGTATAATGTAAATAAATATTAGTAAAATGGGGGTATTTTATAACGTATTTTGGGTCAGTTCATGTAAGTTAAAAGAAGAATAAATTCAGAGCTTCTCGGCGTGCATAGCTGAAAGCAAACATAGAAAAAGTACTTTTCGACCGTTCCCGCCTTTTTTCCTTATACCGCCGAGCATCGCCGAAGACTGAGCCCCGGACAACTCAATCTATAGCAATTTTAAAAAAAATCGTATCCCAATTGAAGACTTTACCTAGAAGTGATGCCAAAATATGCGGTTAAATAATCAAAGGTTACAAAAATGTATTGGGCAAAGATGCTACTTAAACCTTGTTTCCATTGACTCCGGAAAATCAAGCCAGAGGGAAATAGAAAAATTGTTGTTATAAGAAATAAATAACAAGTGACACATAATTTTAATTAAGGAATTTATTTACCTCGTAACTCGTCTGTGTACAGTAATGAACTGAACTTACTAACAAAACCGACAGACAAAACCTGTCGTGACATAGTCGCAAATAAATTCAAACGCCACAAAATTGTTGTCAATGATACTTTTTCTACTTTTTTTATTTTTGTTCGCTTTTTAGTTTTGAGGTTAGTTGAAAATTTCGAAATATTAAGTTTCAAACGCGCTTCGCACGTGCCAGTTTTTTCATTCTTGTTTTGAGATTTCTTAAGTACTAACTGTTTGTTGACAGTTGGTAGCCTAGGGTATCGAGTCGGTTCGCGTCGGGCGTCATCGTCAATGTCAGCCAATCAGAGGCCATTTTACCCGGCCTCACTATTTTCAGCCGTCTCTTTTTAAAAGTCGACGACGATTTTTCGGGTACCCGTGCACCTCTAATGATAATCTATATATTCGTAACTCATTCATGTATATCACTATCAATATATTTGATCCACGTAAGTGCAAACAATAATATTCAAAATAAAGAAACCATCGCTTCCTATAACAAGCTTACTTGGTTTCCAACTGAGAAAATTAAATATTTTTCTTTTACGATGGATTTATCATTTAATTTTACGCTCAATTTCTCTCGAGTGAATCAATCGTGTATGTTGAGTTAACAAAAGTACGTAGAATTCATTCTGTAAATGCACACATGCTATACATATATATTTACGCATGCAATGTCAAAGGGTCGGTTCTAATGTAATCTGTCATAAAAATCCGCTACATGCACTGAAAATCCCAAAGTGTTAAAAAGGCTTCAAAAAAGTGTTATTTGCGCATTTACACTTTTCAAAAGTATTTCAAGCATAGATTTACCTTCTTGGAAAATTGTCACAGCGGCAAAAAATATAAGAAATGCAAGCTACATTTTTTGAAATTTGTCGTACCAAAAAGTGTAACGAGAGCTTTTTACACTTTATCATTTAAAATTCAATCGTACATTTACAAAAAGTGTAACTTACGCTTTATACACTTTTCTGTTGTGACTTTTTTCAAAAAGTGCGCTTGAAACACTTTTGAAAAGTGTAAATGCTCAAGTAACACTTTTTTGAGTCCTTTTTAACATTTTGAGCGTTTCAGTGTAAATTTTCACTTTGTTACATTACTCTTTCTTAATTTGCATATGATTTCTTTTGAGTTAATTCATAGATTACTTTTATCACTAATCGTATGTTTCTCTAATGATTTAATTACTATTCGATAAAAACTATTAAGGAAGTATTGAAGAAATGATAAACCCTAAAAAATTGTTTGAATTGTATATTAAATAAAAAACTAATGCGGCCAGTGTGCGAAGTGGATGACTTACCCAATAGTCGATTTTATCAGGTGTAGTAAGTCATCTTCTTTTTGCACACAAATCATATTTTTTAACCCTCCAGACGTGAAACAAGAGCTTCAACAAGCTTTTAGGTTAGAAAACTTGAGTTTTTACTGTGGAGTGTTAATAATATTTTATTCTCTTATCAAAAGCACATTTGAAAACATGCCTTTTATTGCTTTTAAAAATTAACTTATTTCTATTCAAATAGGTTGTTTGGCTCCTCATACATTATTAGGTAAAAGTCGACGGCCAAGAACTGCTTTTACGTCGCAGCAGCTATTAGAATTAGAAAAACAATTCAGACTCAATAAATATCTGAGTCGACCAAAAAGATTTGAAGTCGCAACGTCACTAATGTTAACTGAAACCCAGGTATGGATTATGCATGAAAAATTGTTAACTTAATTATCATTCTAATGAAAGTTTAAATGAGAATGTGAACTTTTTTTCTCATTTGATTTTATTACCATACTAAGATGTCAATTTAAATTGTCAAAAACTTCGTTTGCAAACTTTTATAGTAACATCATTTTATCGTTTTTTGTATCAAAGAACATTATAAGAAAAATATACACCAACATTTAATATAATTTATTGACGCGTACATCAATAAAGAGGAAAATCTTTAGTATTATTTCATCCACTCTTTATCCATGGTTTGAATCTGATATAAAAATTACATACATTTTTACTGCTGTTCAAATATTTTCGTCCCTCATAATGAAGCAAAAACTTATCGACATATATTGCGCTGCAACGATAATAATTGTTACATAATTGTACATATTTATCGTACCTTGTTATTTTTTGAAATTAAAGAAAATGAAAATAAAAAAACTTAGCAACAGGAGAGAAAAATGGTAAAATTATATAATTTTACTGACTAAAATGAAAAATGTATTGAATTTTATTCTTTACAAAAAACTCCAGATAAAATTATTTTAATGCATACATCATAATTTGAAAAAACAACACAAAAAAAAATAATTACACGAAATAAGACTATAAAACCAACTTCAGATTTATTTTTATCGCAGACGTGTCGATTTCATTTGCTTTCAGTAAACCAATTTCGTAGTTTAATCTAACTTTTTATGGATTATCTTGAAACTATGAGTGTCATTTTAATATCACTCATTAAATAAGCAAAATCAGTTTGCGTTTAGCCTATATTCAAATAAAATTGATTAAATCTATAATTATAGAAAAAGTGCGAATTTCTTATAGATTATAAAATTTTTTAATATTAACTCAAATTTTTATTAACCCGTTAACGCCGAGACGGACAGAATTTTTTTCTCTATTGTAGTCTGCAATTAAATCATCTTATCGGAGCGAGAAAAATTTTTGAGTACTTATTTTCTATGTAAAATTTAATGTACTTTTTGAATATGGGTTTATAATTAACCTCTGATAAATATTAAAAAAGTTATAAACAATTAACTGCGAAAAAACACGATTTTGAATCTTGAAAAAAAACTTTGATTCAAATTTTTTTTATGAAAGAGACTTGAACTGTGGCCAATAATACCTAAAATTGTGGAATAATGACCTACAGTTTAGAGTACTGCAGGTGGGATTTGAATATTCAATAAATTTTTTTTCTAATGTTGATCGTTTTCGAACGAAAAAGTACATTTTTGGAACTTATTTTGGTAAATTTCTTAGGAAAAGTGTATTTTTTGGAGTCTACCATTTTGAATATTCAAATCCCTTTTAACTGTAGGTCCCCTTTAAACTGTAGGTCATTATTCCACAATTTTAGGTATTATTGGCCACAGTTCAAGTCTCTTTCATAAAAAAAATTTGAATCAAAGTTTTTTTTCAAGATTCAAAATCGTGTTTTTTCGTAGTAAATTGTTTATAACTTTTTTAATATTTATCAGAGGTTAATTATAAACCCATATTCAAAAAGTACATTAAATTTTACATAGAAAATAAGTACTCAAAAATTTTTCTCGCTCCGATAAGATGATTTAATTGCAGACTAAAATAGAGAAAAAAATTCTGTCCGTCTCGGCGTTAACGGGTTAACATCATAAGTTTTTAATAATGAATTATGATTTTAAGCTTCGATTTTTTTTCAAACTCTGTTTTTGAATAAATCAAATAATAACTCCTTTTTAAAATTTATAAAATAAGATAAATATAATCTTTTCGATGATAATTTGAGTAAAAGTGAAATAATATAAACGATATAATTTATATAATTATATTTACAATGGATACGAAATAACTTTTTACGCTTGATAAAGGAATTTGTACGCAGTAGTCTATCCTTATGTCACACTAAAACTATACATCACGCGGAGATCAAATATTACGCCAGATGGTTCAAACTTAGGGTACTAACTATATTGGGAGAAAGTATTAGCATTAACTCTTATCAACGCGATGACAATGTATACATTGCGAGATTAAGTTGGGGTGAAAATACTTTTATCATGTTAATTTAATCTCTGCGTATAATTTGTCTTTTACGTAATAAATATTCCATGAAATTAAATCTAATTACATCAAAACAATTTTGCTTATACATTTTGATCTACATTAAAATAATATAAGTTTTGGATATTTTTTACGAAAAACCATTTAGCATTTTAAGACAGTAACAGAAATTATGTAATCAGGGGTTCATATGAAATTCAATAAAAGAATCACATAACTTTTATTTTAATAAAATTATTGTTAATTAAGTGGTTATAAAACTCGATAAGCCGAAAAAAAATTTTCTTCCAATAATTGAATTTAAAACACCGAAAGTTTTATTGGTTTGAAAGTTATTTTTCTATTCGATTGTTTAAAGTTAATTATTACAATTTTTCAGCTTAAAATATTCAAAATTGTGGATTTCCTTTCAGTTTTTCTCGCTTAGTTTTTTCACAATAGGCAAGATATTTTGGTGCTTAAATATAAAAGTTGACATTTTCTACATTTTTATACCCGTGGCTCGTAACTTAACAAGGAGATTTTTAATGGCTTGACTCGTTATTATTTTACATGATAACAAAAAAGCAAAAAAAGATTTTTTATAGGCGCTCTAAAAAAATCATCAAGAATAAGTTTTTGATATTTGCCGAAAATTCTTTATTAGACATTTGTCAAGTTATTGTTTTTAATAACAGAGAATGTTATTTTAGAAAAAAAATTTACTATATGTGTAATTTGCCGTCTTAATTATATAAACTTCCTAAATTTTTTAGTCAAACCTCGAAATGCCTATGGAAAATCCGTTTTACCCAACTCATTTTAGGCATTCTTAAGAAATGAAAAAATAATATGAAATAATTTAATTTACGCAATACTATGAAAACTTATATTAGTTTATTAAACATCATTATGCTAACTATAAGAATGTACAAAATTTTTTAGTTGGTACATTCAGTACAATTTTGGAGAGACGTGTTTTTTAAGGGCGGTCATTATAAGATAATTGATAAAAATAAATATGACGAAATTGTACAAAAAATTCTACGCGGAAAATTGTTATCAAAGAAGGCAAAACAACAATGCAAACGCCTCCGAAGTTTTGCCCATACATACAGTGAAAGTCGCATAATTTGAAGTCCAGGGGACCGTCATTCAACTTCGAATTTTGTGATAATATGAATTATTTAGCAGCCATACAATTCAAATTTTTACGAATTGTGTGACACTTATATATTGTACACTTATAATCAGAAAAAGGTACGATAAAAGTAAAAATAAACGATGCCACTCGTAATAATTTTTGACAGCACCCCAAATTAAAAAAAATCGTCTCATTTGGTTGAAAAATGCCCGAGATACGTCAATTTTTTTTTTTTTTTTTTATTACATTTGAACTCTCGGACTTAAACGTCGGGACGCCAGCATACGAGACTTGACAACGTAGAAATGGCGGCTTTGACTTTGTACGGTTTTATTATTGTTAAGATTTCGAGAAATCAAAATTATCATAATGTCACTGTGAAATATGAGTATTTAAGAATGTAACCACGTTGGTTTGATTCATTAATTGTTAATAACAACGAAACAATGAGTTAAAAAAAAAACCTATTTCCGTTAGTAAAGCACTTAGGCAAGTTTCTATTTTTTTTAAAATCTGCGTTTGAATGTCAGCTATTGAAAAACAAATTATTCGGCTAACTATTGTAATTGATCCTCTGCATCTATTTGTTTATAACTTAAAAAGTATCGAATTTTCATCGCATTGTTTAACATATGATTTTTGGTTTTCCGTCTAAAACTTTTTGCTACATATAAGTACAAGTCTTAAACTTTCATTTGCACTTCGAGCAGACTCGCTATTGTTATTAACAATCGAGATGTAGCCTCAGTTCGAGGGAGATTTTTTATAAACAAATGACTGTTTCTCGAAAACTATACGCTCGATCTTAACTTTTAAAAATTCTTGTTTTTGTCGTGAAAAGCCCTATATTTTGATGTACTGTAAATTCCGATTAAACCGAAATTGTTTATAATAAATGCAATTGAAAAAATTACCATTTTAGAGGGTTTTTGGCATTTTTCTCGGTAAATACATAATTAACTTAATCGATCGTCATTGGGCTCAAATTTAAGGTCTAATTAATCGCTTTAATTTTTATTTGAACTTTTTTCGATTGCTAAGGGTACTAATTGTACTCATCAAGACCAACATATCCCATTTGTTCTGGTCCTGTCCCTAATTTTTACCAGAAAACTTTTAATTTGACTGGACTAAAGTACTACTTGTATCGTCTATGTAACGTTTCACAGCATATACGAGCGAGTAAACTCTCACACTGTCAAGACCAAGACAGAGGAAGAAAATGTCTAGAGAAAATTCACTTTAAAAATAAACATGGAACGTTCTGCAAAATGTGTGAAAAAACATAGATATTGTGACGTGCGAGGTTTTGGGCACTAGCCCATGCTCGGCCTGCCGTCTAATTATTTCTTACTGAGGCTCCGGTTAGCCTATCGTTGAGTCTTACCTCAGAAGGGGTCGAGCCGCCACCAAGTGCGCCGCGAGCGTCGGCAGTCCAAGCTGAAAATAAGTGAGAGAGGGTCGCGAAAAGACTACGAAAAATGTACTTTTGCACACAAATAATCGTTCTTTATTTAACTCCGACTTTCAACTATCATTCATACAATCATCACTGCAATCGCGCTTCATTTCGCAATGTCATCTCATTTCTTATCATTATCATCCTCTCATGCCTCGGACGGAACTGATTATACGCGAGTCCAAGGGGAAAACGCGCGGATTACAACGTCAGTCCGACACGAGTCCCAGTCGAGTGCCGCGTAATTGCACTACGCGCAATCGGCTCGTTTCCCCGAAATACGGTCGACGACTTCGCTCTGCTCGCGCTAGCAGACGCGCGGTTTGGTCACACACGACCAAG